TAGACTGACAGGATTTTTCTAGTCTAATTTGCACTTTTTCTATGGATAACACTCCAAGGTATTCTGAGAACTTGGTGAGTTATTAAATTTTATTTCCTAAGGTTATGTTTCTGTTCCAGAGTTCCAAAAGGATATCATATTACCTTTAATAGTCATTTCTCTTTAGTAATTATTTATCCTTAGGCTTCTATTGGTTGGGATATTTTCTCAGCCTTCCCTTCTTTGTGACAACCTTGACAGTTTTGAGGAATACTGATCACGTGTTTTGTAGAATATCTGTTCTTCAGTTGTGATTTGTCTCATGTTTTCCTCATTATAAGACAGGGATTATATGGTTTTGGGAGGACAGCAGTAGAGGTAAAGTGTTGTTTTCATCTAATTGCATCCAGAGCACATATTATTGACATCCTCAGGCACTGGTGATATTAACCCCAACCGCCTGCCTGAGGTGATATTTTCCAGGGGTCTTCATGGAAATTCTTTTCCTCTTTTCATACTGGCTTCTTTGAAAAAAAACATTCTATGCAGTCCACACCTAAGGAGTGGAAGTTACATTACACCTCCTTGCAGGCATGATAGCTACATGAGTTATGTAAAATTAGGCACGGGAGGTTTGCCTATTTTTTCCTATTTGTATATGTATTTACTAAACCATTTATTTATTTAAGCATAGACTTATGGTATTTTATACTACTGTATTTATTTTGCTCCTCACATTTTTATCTTTTAGTTAGCTTCTGTTGGCATGCTCTGTTGGCACACTCCATCAATGTGTGCACATGTGCATGCATGAAGTGAATGTTTCACTCTTTGGCATTACAAGATTCTCCAAGTTCATCGTGCATACTCCTTGCCTCACATCTACAGTCTGCCATTTCTCCCAGAAGACCTGTTTCCTTTTATTGGAGAATGGTATTAGAAACCAAGTCTTTGGCTGGGCACAGTGACTCTTGCCTGCAATCCCTGCACTTTGAGAAGCCAAAGTGGGAGGATTGCTTGAAGTCAGGAGTTTAGGACCAGCCAGAGCAACATAGTGAGACTTCGTCACTACAAAATTAAAAATTAAAAAAATTAGCCAGGTATGGTGGTACACACTTATTGTCTAAGCTACTTGGGAATCTGAGGCAGAGGGATCGCCTGAGCCCCGAAGGTTGAGGTTGCAATGAGCCATGATTGTGCCACTGCACTCCAGTCTGGGTGACAGAGTGAGACTCCAACTCAAGATTCAAGAGAGAAAGAAGAAGGAAAGAAGAAAAAAGAGAAAGAAAGAAAGAAAGAAAGAAAGAAAGAAAGAAAGAAAGAAAGAAAGAAAGAAAGAAAGAAAGAAAGAAGGAAGGAAGGAAGGAAGGAAGGAAGGAAGGAAGGAGAGAGAGAGAGAGAGAGAGAAAGAAAGAAAGAAAGAAAGAGTTGCCATTAAGGGTGGTTTTTATTCTGGGTTTTTGATAGAGTAAGGAAATATTTGTGTATATCAACTTGTGCATATATCCATATCTACAAATATTTAGCTTCTTTTTAATTAATAAAATATATTATAAACCGAAGCTGAATGTCCTGCCACTGACTTATTTTTCATAATACCAAAGTACTCTTCCTTGAATTCCCTGCATGTTATTCTCAGTGAAGGTATTTATATACATATTTTGAATCATCTGAATAAAATCTAATAGGTGTATTTTTTTTATAATTGTCAGATAGATTTAGACAGACACATCACAAAAAGTCTCTGATTTTCAATATGAGGGTGACCCTTGGCTAGTACCCGTCAAAGGTTAGCTGTAGACGCCTCAGGAGAATGGTTGAGGAAAGGTGTGGGAGTTGTATAAGCACAACTTAGGAGTATCAGCAACCTGAAAAACACAGTGCACAGGTCAGTTTGAAGTCTCAGGAAAAAGGTGACTCTTTGTCATCTGTGATCTTGAATGAATGTGATTTATATACTATCTACCAGCTGTAGTCATTAGATGGCCTAGCCCAGTGTCTTCAAAACCTCAGCATCATCAGATTCACCTAGAGGACTCGTGAAACGTAATGCTGTGATCTAGAAGTTTTGAGGCAAGGCCCAGGAATCTCTCAATTTCTTGCCAGCTCCCAAGCGATGCAAGGCTGCTGTACCTCTGGAGGCAAAGGCCCAGAGTCCACTTTCCTTACAGGAATGCAAGCAGTTCACTGTGTGGAAAACTAACACCAGCAAGCCACTAGGAAGTCCACGTACAAACAAGGTGTCTGGGACAAAGGGAATGTCTCATTTCCTGAGGCAATTGAAATGCGACTCCTCACAGCTTATGGACTTTCTAGGCTATTACTATGGGTAAAATTGTATCCACTCAAATACCTGGGGGTCCTAACCCCCAGCATCCATGGATGTGACCTTTTTTGATCAAGATAAGATGAGGCTATGGGGAGGGGTTATCCAAAACAACTGGTGTTTTTATAAAGAGGAGAAATTCAGACACAGAGACAGATACACACAGAGGGAAGACAGCACAAGGACTCAAAGGGAATGCCACCACAGCCAAGGAGAGAGGCCTGGGCCAGAGCCTCCCCTCACAGTCCTGAGACGGAACCAACCTTATGGACATGGACTTCAGACTCCCAGTCTCCTGAACTGAGAGACAATACCTTTTTCTGCTGTGTTGGTGGCAGCCCCAGGAGATTAAATTAGTCACCCATGTTCTTAAACAGTCTTTATACATGTTTTTTATTTTTTATTTTTTTAATCAATATTTTTATTATAATATTGTGGGGTACAGTTAAGGGTTAGGTATACATATATGCTTCATTCAGGTCCCCTTGTTGATAACATATTACTTCCAAGTCTCAGAGTAATATAAATAATATTTTTTATATTTGTGTTATCCCAACTGAGAAAGGCAAGATTATTCAAACAAAAGTGGCTGTCTAAGACCATGCCCAGAGGAGGCAGTGCTAGAGTGAGATGACAGAGGCCATGAAGAAGAAAGGCCGCCTCTGTGTGTTCCAGGCACACCTGGAAGTCGGACACCTTGTTCTCATGATTCTGAGGTTTTTAAAGTTTTTCCATTTCATGACTGAGTTCCCTAAGAGAATTATTAACATAGGTCTAAACATTGCATAATAATATCTATCTTCTTCAAAATATACAATGAAGTGGGAGAATCAATTAGAGAGTGTTTCTTCCCGGAAGAAAAGGATTATGTGTTATTGACGTCGTCATAATTTTGAAGTAGGAGACTGAAAAACAAGGAATAACATTTGTCTATAAAAGGCATTTGTCTGGCGGGATCCTTTCAAATGCTATCAGAACCCCATGGGTGGCTCTTCGCATTGCGAAAATGCCAACCACACTTGACAAGCAGTGATGTTTCATGAATATTCACTAAACAGTGTTAACTGTTGACACCCGAATTGATGCTAGATGTGGCCAGAAAAACTGCAGAACACACCCCAGCTGCAGACGGGGTATGACTTCTCATGCTTGTGGGCTTTAGCCACCACTTTCCCATCACAAATATACAAATGTTTTTTTTTTTAATTATCTAAAGGAAGTTTTTCTTACAAGTGTAGTTATATAAAACTTTGAATATTGTTGTAAAACTTTTAAACACTATGAATCTAGAATCTCTATAATTTCATTGTCGGTGTGACATCTAGCACCAACTGCTCTGGCTGCCACCTCGAATCCGTATCTTCCATTGCTACTTTTCTGTAGTACTCTCTGTAATCAGCTGCACAGCCCCTGAACTGGTTGGGTCAACTCGCCTTTGCATTCCCATTTGTCGAACACCATCTTGCTGAAAACACTGGGAAAGGAAAAGCAATGCCCACTTTTGGGACTGAAATGCTAGAACAGTCCTCCCTCTTTGGTCCCTTATAAGCCACTCTAAGAGAGTGGACTTAGATTGTTAATGTGGGTGACTCACAACTGGTGACAAGCCTCTTCTGAGCATTTTTCTTCATGCTGCTTCCACAGGTTACATAAATTATATCTTCCATTCTTTAACCACATCATTGCTTAATATTTAAACACAGATCCCACTCAACTTTTCCACCGTGACATGCATGGGGAATCTTTCGCTTTTCTCCCTTGCTCAGGTAACTTTTTCAGGACTTGACTTATGCATATGTAGCTCTCTATTTTACAATTGTACCAGTTATCTGGATTGCTCTTTAAAATCATTCACCATTAATTAGCTGACCTCTTTTAAGAACCAACAAATTATTCATATTAACAAATAATAAGATCAGTAGAAAAATTGACTCTCCCCCTATTTGCATCTACACCCTGCCAAAAGAAAATCAGTTGCAAAATAGTGACCTAAGGGAATAAATATCAAATAAAACCCCTCCCAAACTCAGACATAAACCAAAAAGCAACACAAAAACGTGTTCAAATAACTTAATAAGCAAAATAACTCTTTTCATCTAATTACACACTTTATAATGTGGAAATAATGATCACTTAATAAAATCATATTGGTTGGTAATTGTGCTCAATCTATTGTAAAAGAAATTCAAAGTTTAAGATAAAGTAATGAATAAAGGAAAGGAAGAAGCTAGAAATTAAAACTCAGCAGACATGTCGCACTAGTTTCTTTTATGTGTGGCTCTCAATAATATTTGATTCTCCTTATGCATGTGAAATTTGTAGAACTCTCATCACCAGCAAAGTTGACTTGTATAATTATGATCAGCAGTGAGTTAGGTCAGGTTAGGGTTATACTTAGGTTTATAGACATGATGCAAACATAGTCTTGATTTAAAAATATGAATCCATTCTAATCGTCCCTCTACCATACCAATTAAAAACCTTAAAAATTTTTCATGTTGAATCAGTTGTTTTGTCTCAAATATAACTTATGTATCATGATTGTACTAATATAGTTAGTTAAAAACATGCACATGAAATAATTCTACATTAAAGGTATGACTGCTTATAGCCTTAGACCTCTTTGATCTTGTGAGACTGCATATAGCCTTAAGCCTCTTTGGTCTTGTGGGCATTTTACCTTTGTAATTCCTACCTGCAGATGTTGTCACAATTTCTGTAGTGTTTCTGAGGCCCATGAAGTCAAACTGGTAAAGCCGCCATGATTTCTGATCAGCTGCCTCAACAGAATTTTTTCTCCATCTATAAATCATTTCTTCTTTGGGATAGCCATCTAAAAATGCAGAACAAATATTAGCACTCGAAGATATACTTTACTAAATCATGAAAGTAAAAATTATCATTCTGTTTTATTAATAGGAGTTAAAATTCTAGGCTATGATTGTTCTTGAAATTTTCCTCAGGGACACAGAAACTCCAAAAGTGAATGGGAAAATGTCACCTAATCCTGCGGCACATCTTTACAGTCAGTAAGGCATTCAACAGTCACAAGCATGGCCAATATTTGTATGGGCACAGCAAATAGGAATAGGATGCTGTTTCTGTGTCTCTTTAGCCTTGTTGAACCATGGCTGCAGGTGGTGCTTGTCAACATCTAACTGGTTCCAAGACACAGAGTCTTTTTCATAAAGATCTAATTATGTGCCTTACACCCATTACACTGTCCACCCTTCCCCAAATTTAGTCCATTCAGACATCAGGAAAGAAGAATTTAATAAGGCAATCACTCCAGGATTTGAGAGATCAAAATACTCTTAAGCCTTTTCTCCTGCAAGTCTCCATTTTGATAGACGAAATTGGACCTCTTTCAGAGACCCTTTCCCAAGCTATTAATTACTCCAGGAAGCAAGAGCATGGTATTCTGCTGCCTGAGATCCAGCAATGGCCCCTGCCTAGGGCTCTAGCATTAGCAGCAGGTTTCAGCCCTAGTTCTCCTGAGGCTGTCACCAGGTTCCATGGCTCCCTGAGCCTGAGTCAGGTATTGACCAGATGTCTGGTCCTCTGTATCTCTTCTTCTGAATTCCCCACTTCTGAACCATGCTTGGGACAACTCCATTCCCTCTCCCTTCCCCACACTTGCTACTGGACATCTCTAACCTGGTACATTTGCTTTCTTTGTACTGTTTTATCTCTTGGCTCTGCAGCTGGGTCTGCATCACAGGAAACTCCTCACTCTATACGACAGGTCTAGATCCCCTGTAGTCCCCAACACATGCAGCATTGGTTTTTTGTTTTTTGGTTTTTGGTTTTTTTTTTTTTGAGTTGGAGTCTCACTCTGTCACCAAGACTGGAGTGCAGCGGCCCCTCCCGGCGACCGCAGCCTCGACCTACTGGGCTCCGGCGATCCTTCCGCCCCAACCTTCCAAGTAGCCAGAATTACAGGCATGCGCTACCACGCCCGGCTGATTTTTTGATTTATTGTAGAGATGAGGTCTCGCTGCCCAGGTGGGTCTCGAACCCGCGGGCTCAGGCAATCCACTAACCTCAGCCTCCCAAAGGTACGGGATTACAGGCTGAGCCACAGAGCCCAGCTGCAGCTGTGGGTTTATTAGCCGTTCATTGATTCATCTAGACACTGATAGAATGACTCTACAAGGGAAAAAAAATGTATGCACCATCTTGATACATTATCCTGAATACAAAAAACACTGCATTGATGTACACATACCTATGCAAACACATTAATGAAGGCCAGATGCAGTGGCTCATGCCTGTAGCCCCAGCACTTTGGGAGGTCGAGGTCAGAGGATTGCCTGAGCCCGGGGGATTTGAGATCAGTCTGGGCAACTTGGTGAGACCTCGTCTCTACAAAAAATCAAAAAATTAGCCGGGTGTGATGGTGTGCCCCTGTAGCTCCAGTTACTTGGAAGGTTGAGGTGGAAGGAAACTTTGGTGATGTGAGCATGCAACAGCACTCCAGCCTGAGTGACAGAGACTTCAACAACAACAACAAAAAATTGATAAAGTGGTTGAAAGTTGCTGATTAAACACTTAGTTGAGGTCAAGGTACCAAGATGGCCTGAGGCATTTCTTTTTTTTTTTTTTTTGAGTTGGAGTCTCATTCTGTCGCCCAGACTGGAGTGCAATGGCCACCCCCGGCCACCACAGCCTCGACCCGCTGGGCTCCGGCAATCCTTTCACCTCAGTCTTCCAAGTAGCTGGAATTATAGGCACGTACTACCACGCCCGGCTAATTTTTTGATTTTATTGTAGAGATGAGGTCTTGCCTACCCAGGCGAGTCTCGAACCTGCGGACTTAGACAATCCACTCACCTCAGCCTCCCAAAGGCGCGGGATTACAGGCTGAGCCACCGAGTCCGGCTGCCTGAGGCATTTCTATGAGGTATTCAAACATTTTACTTGGTCACTGTTCCAATGGTTTTCTGTCACCGATCCCGGCTTGCTCCCCACTCTTGCCACCCATTTTATCTAGCCCTAGGCAAACACTAAAATATTTTCTGTCTCATTCTGGACATTTTATATAAATGGAAGTGTACAACATGTGATCTTCTGTAATTGAATTCTTTTACTTAGCATAATGGGTTCAAGGCTCCATCATCTTGTAGCACATATTAGTATTTCATTCCTATTTATTGCCAGATAATATTTCATTGTGTGGATAAACCATATTTTAGTCATTCATCCATTGACATACATGTTGGTTGAGCTCACTTTTTCATGATTATGTGGTTATGAATACTTGTGTATAAGATTTTGCATTGATACTTGATTTCAATTCTGACTAGAATTATTGTGTCAGGGTAACTCTAGGTTTAACATTTTGAATAACTGCCAGACCTTTTCCAAAGTGGCTATGCTTTAAAATCCTGCCTGCAATGTATGAGGGTTCCAATTTCTCCACATCTCCTCTAACATTTGTCAGTTTCTGTCTTTTTAATTACAATTATGGTAGGTGTGAAATGGCATCTCATTTTTTATTTAATTTGCATTTCCCTATTGACTGATAATATTGAGAATTTTCATACTTTTATTGGCCATATGTATATCCTCTTTGGTGGTCTGTTCAGATCATTCACTAAATTCTTTTTTTTTTGAAATCAATATTTTTTATTATGATATTGTGGGGTACAGTTAAGGGTTAGGTATACAAATATGCTTCATTAAGGCACCCCTGTTGATAAGAGGTGTCTCCCTGTCCCCAGACAGATGTTTACTACCATTAGTCCCATCTCCTTCCCCTCACCCCTCCATAGTTTCTCACCACTGTCAGTCATTTTCTTATGGTAGTACGTTGCATGATCAAGGTCCACTATATGAGTGAGAACATGTGATACTCAGATCTTTGTTTTTGCGAGAGCTCACTCAGTATTATAGACTCTAGTTCCATCCAGGTTGCTGCGAGATTACTGATTTTGTTCTTTTTTATGGCTGCATAGTATTCCATTGTGTATATGTACCACATTTTTTAAATTCAGTCCTCTTTTGATGGGCAGCATGGTTGGTTCCAGGTTCTTGCTATTGTGAACAATGCTGTGATAAACATTCGTGTGCAGGTATCTTTTTGATAGAGTGATTTGAGTTATTCAGGGTATATTCCCAGTAGGGGGATTGTGGGGTCATATGGGGGTTGATATTTAGAGCTTTTAGGAATTGCCACACTGCTTTCCACAGAGGCTGCACTAGCTTTCACTCCCACCAACAGTGTAGAAGTGTTCCCTTTTCGCTACACCCTCTCAAGCAGCTGTTATTTTTTGAGTTATTGATAATTGCCATTATGACTGGAGTTAGGTGGTATCTCGGTGTGGTTTTGATTTGCATCTCCCTGATGATTAGTGAGGTTGAACATTTCTTCATGTGTCTGTTGGCTGCTCGGATGTCTTCCTTTGTGAAGTGTCTGTTCATATCTTTTGCCCATTTTATAATGGGGTTGTTTGTTTTTTTCTTTTCAGCACGTTTGAGTTCCTTGTAGATCCAAGATGTTAAGCCTTTGTCAGACCTGGAGTTGGCAAATACTTTTTCCCAGACTGTAGGCTGTCTCCCTGCTCTCTTGATGGTTTCTTTGGCTTTGCAGAAGCTTGTCAATTTAATGAAGTCCCACTTGTCTATCTTATCTCTTATGGCCTGTGGGTTTCAGGTTTTGTTCAGGAATTGGAAGCCAGTTACAATTTCCATGAGGGTATGTCCTTCATTTTCTAAGGTTCTTATGGTTAGAGGTTTTACATTTAAGTCTCTGACACATTTGGAGTTAATTTTTGTGTGTGGTGATAGATAGGGGTCCTGTTTCAATCTTCTGTGTGTGGTCAGCCTGTTTTCCCGGCACCATTTACTGAATAGGTTCTCCTCTCCCCAGTGGTAGGTGGTGGAGGCTTTGTCGAAGATGAGTTGGTTGAGAAATTGAGATTTTGCTTCTGGAATCTCACTTCTATTCCATTGATCTATATTCCTGTTCCTGTACCAATACCAAGCTGTTTTGATGATTGTAGCTTTATAGTAAAGTTTGAAGTCTGGTAATGTGATACCATCTGCTTTGTTATTTTTGCTGAGGATTGTTCTGGCTATTCTGGACAAGACAAGGATGCCCACTCTCACCTCCTTGTGTTCAATATAGTATTGGAAGTCCTGGCTAGAGCAATCAGAAAAGGGAAGGCAATCAGGGGTATCCAAATAGGAAAAGAGGAAGTCAAGTTATCTCTCTTCTCAGATGACATGATTGTGTACCTTGAAAACCCAAGAGAATCTGTCAAAAACCTCCTTACACTGATAAAGGCCTTTGGCAAAGTCTCAGGATATAAAGTAAATGTGCAAAAGACAATCACATTTCTTTACACCATTAATAAAGAAATAGAAACCCAAGTAAAAAGCACAATTCCATTCACAATAGCCACAAAAAAATGAAATACCTTGGCATCTTCCTAACCAGAGACGTGAAAGACCTTTACAATGAAAACTACAAAACTCTGCTCAAAGAAATCAAAGATGACACAAACAAGTGGAAAAATATCCCATGCTCATGGACTGGAAGAATTAACATTGTGAAGATGTCCATCTTACCTAAGGCAATCTACAGATTCAATGCAATACCTATCAAATTACCAGCAACATTCTTCTCAGACCCAGAAAAAAAAAAACACACTAATTTCTTAATAGGGTTTTTTATATTGTTGGATTTTGAGTTATGTATATACTTTGAGTACAAGTCCTTTATCAGATATACGTTTTATTCATCTTTTTCTGGAAACAATTGGAATTGTTTTATTGTCGTAACATTTATAACATAAAGTTTACCATTTTAAACATTTTATGTATAATAATTTTGTGTTATAAAATACATTCATATTTGTGTGCAATTATTACCACCATTTATCTC